ACAACAACAACAACAACAACAACAACAACAACAACAACAACAACAACAACAACAACAACAACAACAACAACAACAACAACAACAACAACAACAACAACCCAAGCACATCATATTCATATATTCGTTCTATACCTCTCAAAAACCAACCTCTCTCCGTCCACTCAACATCCTCAAACACATCCTCAAACACATCCTCTCCTATCTCCAAACACCACCATCAATACCATCATCTGCTCTGCAGGCTGAGATGCTCCGCCTGACCAATCTGCTCCAAGATCTGCAAAGCCTCGTGGATCAACGCGCCGCTGGGCGCCGAGTCGAAGCAGTTCGTCTGGTAGCTCTGCAGCTCATAGAGGCAGGGATCGATCGCCTTTCTTCGAGTGGAAGGTTTTCCAAGAAGCGGAGACAGTCACAATAGGTCCATATGTCTATGTTTATATAGCATTATTACTCATTAGGATTCATTAGGCATTGCATAGCTTATATACGTTTATCTTCTCAAGGACATTATTTATGGTAGGGCAGCCTTCTTTTGGTATGAAGAACAGGATGAATCATACTTTCTGAGAGCGTAGAAAAGGGTATATAGGTGTCTTTCTACAAAGTGGCAAAGTCGAAGCGGTCAAACCATCTTGATGATTCAAACCCAGAGACGCAGCAGCGGCGGAAGCTGAACAATTCGCTCCAACAAAGATGATTCCCAGATGGGCCCAAGGAGAGATCACAGCAGGAGTTGAAATTCACGACGCCCAACCAACATGAAGGATCACCTGAAACAAATAAGTCCAGTCCAGTGTCCCAGTGCCGTTGTTCTTTTTCGGATCGCTCTATCAATTCAGCATGTGGGGATGGACGGGGTTGGATGGGAGATCACCGGTTGGTTGGGTCTCTTCAAATAGGATGGTTGGACACGACTTTCAGGGCTTCACCATGAGGAACGTTGGATTATCACCTGAGGTGTGTCTCTTTCACCTCAGGGAGGTCAAAGAAGAATTCACGTCCGTGGATCATGAATCCTTTTCTGTGCCGATACGGAAGCCTTGTGTGTCTTTGCTGGTCGGACACGTTCCAAAACCAAGCACCAAGGACCCTTTCAACCAACCATAGGTTTGGAAAAACAAGAATCTAAAGGGAATTGAACATTTAGAGGAAGGCAATCAACCACTATCGCCCATCGCCTTGCTATCGCTGGTTGGCTCACCGGTCCTGGCTTCGGGTGGTTTCGGGGGTTCGGAGACCGAGCTTCGGAGGCCGAGCGTCCAAATGCGGAGCCGCGTGCGGTGAGCAGTGCTGCGGTGAGAAATGCCAAAGGCATTGGAAATGGAGACAGCCATGGCAGGAGACGTATTTCGGTGGCCGACTCAAGCAAAACACAAGGTTCATGATTCATGGTCATCCACCTATGATCTGGAAGGTTGAGGGGCAGGGTGGTGGAGGCAGGGTTTCTCAATGCGCCAAAAAGTATCCTTGACCCGAAAATGCTCCAAAATTTTACGAGATGAGGGCACACAAGCAGCCAAGAGCAAAAAGACTTGCAAGTGCATCTGTCATGCACAATGGTGTCTCTTTTATCCACACTTCCAGAAAATCTGCCCCTCTGCTCCCAGCGCCAAATCTTTTGGCGTGGTCGCCAGGTGAAGCATTAAACTGGGACCAACTCCACAAAACATGGGGATTTTTGCCCATGGGTCACGATGGCTGGTGTGGTCACTGGTCACATGGAATTTCCGCTCCGAAGTGCGGGCTTTGCCGCTGGCTGTGGCAGCTGAGACAGAAAGAGATCCTTCTTGGTCGGGTCCTTGGGTGGCGGCGATGAAAGGAGAGATTTGGCGAAGTCATCTTGAACGGCGGAGCTGTCCCCGCCATGATCTGCAGAGCCCCACGTGATGACAGATCCATCTGCCAGGACGGCAGCAAATGCCATCTTGGAGCTCCGAATCAGTTGCACGCTCTTGAGCTGATGTTGGACTTTGCGGCTGTCACCACCATAGAACTCATTGCCCCATGTGACCACTGATCCGTCTGCCAAGATGGCAGCGAATGCTTCAGATGTGCCTTGAACTTCTTGCACGTTCTGCAGCTGGTCTTGCACCTTGGAGCTGTCACCACCCAGACCCACACTGCCCCACGAGACGAGGGATCCATCTGACATGATTGCAGCAAATGCGAAGTTGTTGGCTTGAAGCTTCTCCACCTTGATTTGCACTTTGGAGCTGTCGGCTCCACAGCACCATGTGGCCACTGAAGATTGCGCAGTGAGCCACCGGAGACGATCTTGCACAATCGAACTGTCACCACCCATGCCGGCTTCGCCCCAGGTAACCACCGATCCATCCGACAGGATGGCAGCAAATGGGCTTGGTTTGACAAGGTAGACGGCCAAGTAGACCCATCCACCTTAGCGACGCCACAGGTATGCGCTAGATGGCGCGATAGCGCCGGTCAAGCAGACGTCTGCGCACATCGGCCAAATGTGCTAGCACAGCGGCATCGTATTCGTGGTTTATGCCCATGGGCCATCCCAGAATTTGCTGAAAGAGATCACTGGGCTCAAAGGTTCTGGTATTTGAGAAACCTTCGAGGATGGCAGCAAATGCCGAGGAGGCGCCCTTGAGCAGCTTCGCTTCCCTCAGCTGATCTTTCACCTCAGAACAGTCACCGCCAGATGCTTCATGGCCCCATGCGACGACTGATCCGTCTGCAAGGATAGCAGCAAATGCATAACCAGTGGCCTCAATCTATATGGAGTTGTAGGTGCTGTAGCCCTTGAA